TCGTCTCAGAGTCTCTGGCTTCCAAGGTCCCTGAGCACATGCTTCATTTTTATGTCTATGAAACTCCTATTTATTCCAAAGAGGCTACTCAAGCCTATTACAAGTGTCTGACTAGGCACCTGACCTGAGAGGCTGAAAAATGACCGTGGTGCAGTTGGTACAGGGAAGGTTTCATTGAATCTGCATTTTTCCCAAGAAGAGTGAATGAACTGAATGACATTCAGCACAGATTTTTTCTTTGTTTGCACAATTTATTACCTAGTTGAAATGGAAAGAGAAGGAAAAGAGCTCTTTTGAAAGAAAAAGAGATTTATGGGCTTGTTCTATAGCTCTCCAGGAAAGTTATAGTTTCCCAGTTCAGTCCTCTTCTGTTCTTTGGTTGCCCAGTTGACTGAAACTGTGATAGCTGTAGCTCTGTTTTACAGGTCTTTTGGAGAAGTTACCAACTCTGTAGGACTTCCCAATGGGACGGAGTACCCCAGTCTAAAATGATGTTTCCTTCTTCGTGGACAGTGTTTCAGTGTTTAAAAGCTAACCAGAATTCTAAAAAAGAAAAATATGCATACTTACCTTTTTTTGTTGTGGATTTATGGGCAAAATTTTATCTCAATTAAAAATTTAATCAGAGAGACAGTTCCCTAACAAGTTGTATTAAAATTGTTCCATGTATGACAAAGTCTCTTCTGAAAGATGCTCCGTTGTCATAATAGGGCTGTTCCCCAGCAGCATTTAGAAATGACACGTTCTGTTTAAGGAAGTTGCTGTCGAACTGCCCAAGTGATGCTCTTTTCTTTTAAGACTACAGTCAAACGTGAGGCACTGAAAGCACCGAAACCTTCGCAGCACTTCTCACAGGAGCGCAGACACCCGCATGTCTTGGCTGGGATTCAGCTGGGATAGTCACATTCTGCCTGGTCCGTATTTCTTCTGCGGTTTCAGCTCGGGTGGGGATCGCTCCTTATTTCCCGCTGAAAGTGATGAAGCAATCGCTGCATTTGACTTCCAGCATCGCTGAGTTTCATTGATGAAAGAAGGGCGGAGGAGCACGACGCGCCTTTTGCAGGGAGCGAGCAGTGGCAGACGGGCAGGGAAGGACACCGGCCTGAGCTCCTTGGCCCCTAACACTTGCCATCCGGCTGCAGCAGTCCCAGATCTCTGCCTCAGTCTCATAGCAAGGTGTTTTTTGGGGCACTGAGATGTGTAAACAACCTGTTCGAACAACTGAGACACCTTAAAGTTACAAACCAAAGTTTTCAGCCATCCGAGCCTGTTGTTGCTTCTGGCCTACAGCATGTAACACGCTGGCAGATGGCTGCCCTTGTCAGCACTTCCCCATCGCAGCCATCACGGAGACTGAATTCAGTATTGCCAGTTCCACATACTTGGGAACAAGGCATTAAGATGCTAAAATTATGAACACGGAGGGTTTTCTGATTTGTATGCTGCTTTTCGTGTTAGTAGGATGTGAGCTTCTGAGCTTTGCACCACAGCTGACAGAGCCTGGCTGGGAATATTTATTTCCACTGCATTAGAATAAAAATAATCTGGCACCAAGAAGCGGGCTTTAAGAGCAGTACCAAATATCGTGGAAGTCTCATTAAAATCTTGAGCGACAGCAACCTTGCAAATTGGAAGGTTTTCCAATGCAGCAGCCATGGAAAATTTTAGCCAAGTGTTGGCATGGTGCTTAAGCTTTACGTGATTCTCCAGGCCTTTAAGCCCCAGCACCTTTGCTCCAGTGATATAAGACTTCCTTTTATTTTGCTAGTTCTAGCCATAAGAAGGAGTTATTTAATGGGCATTAGTCATAATGTCACGGATATTACACTGCTGAGGCAACTTGGGAGCTTGTGTGACCTCCATCTGTGCTGGTGGCCATATGGAATTGACCCCCTTTTCCTGCTGCTTTTTGGATTTCCCTTTCTAATTCCTTAATGTCAAGCGAAGCCCACGCGTTACCGTCCCTAGCAAATGGTAGTGGTTGGGCAGCGTTCAGGTGCTGCAGAAGGAAACGAGCACGTTGTCCTCAGAGCTCCTGACAGAGCTAAATAAAGATTTACAGGGAAAAAATAAAATGATGTAACGTACCTGACAGAAATGGGATGGTAACTGGAAGATATTAAGAGGCAGGAACGTGCGGCACTATTGAGCTGATTGCCTGCGTTTAACAACCAGCAGATAAACCTGCTAAAGTCGATGTTGGCTTTGGCAGCTTAAGACATTAGAAATACCCTGAGCACGTGTACTGTGTGACTGCTCATTAAGGCGTAAGTGAAATATTGCTGTCCACTGGGTAAAAGTGTTTATCCTGCAGGAAACAGATGAAGTGGGGTTTTAATATACAGGAAAAGAAAAAAATGGTAGCTTAAAAGCAAAACCCCAAACCCTCAAACAAACATTATTTGCCTTGGCTCGGGGTGAGAAACAGCTGTAGGATGTATTTCACACAGCTTATAATGGGAAATTAATTGCAGGGAAAAAACACAGACTGCCCAAAACAAATTATGACACATAGCACGTTTTTTTTTCTCTTATTTTTTAATGGAAAGCTTAAGGGGTTTAAGAATTTTTTCACACATTAATAGAGAGACCAGAAAGCTGATAGTTCAAGTTGATAAAATCTGGGCAAGGCTCAGGAAACCTAACTTCTTACAGAAAAAACACTTCTTCAGATAGGTTTTGTGTTGCCAAACAATCCCTGCAGGCACATCTTTTTAAAAGGTAAACCCTATCTTCTCAGAAAAGAGAGATGTCTTCTGGAATCTTAGCTATGAACTTCCTTCTGTGTCCTTTTAATTTCATTTTATGGCGAATTTAGCTCCATCTCAGTAGGCAGAATATGTTTTGAATTTATTTTTGATTGGATTTCTGGAATTCTAGTTTTTCCAAATCATTTCCAGACTCAACAAAGTGGAAATCTTGCACAGTCGTGCAAATTGTTTTTGGTGGTTGTGGCTGAAAGCTCGCAAGAACAGCAACTGAAAGTTGGTACTGAGGAACCCAGATCTGGATCTCTGCCCTCAGTCTTGATGTAGAGAACCTTATCTAGGATGTGTTTGCAAACGAACTCTATGCATTAACATAAAACTCATTGAAAGAAGAGCAGCGAAGGGTCAGCAGAATTTTGCTTATTTGTTGAGGAAACATTTCTTAGAGACTATAATTTCTATATCACAAAGCCTATTTCAATCCAATATAAATATAAACAAACACACTAGATGTGTGTAATCCTTTCTTTTCCCCCCAGATCTCTTGATTTTGAAAGCAGCCTGCCATTTTATCCGAATTAAAAAGACCATCCACACTATTTTAGCCTTTTTGGCCATGCTGAAATATATCAGTATGACAGATGTGTGTTATCATCACTGTGGCCTTTTTACTCACAGCATTGCTATCTAGCCAAGTGCTTCTTATAGACAAATATACGTGACTTACCTAAATTGAGATGCCTCATTGAAAAATAGCAAGTAACATGAGATTCGGCATGGGACTAACACAGAAATGGTGCTGCATCTGATGTGCCAAATCACTGTTAATCTTTGTAAAATGCCATGTTTCAGTCAAGTGGTGAACAGGAGGGTACGGCTGCTGGACCACTGAGCGCTGACAGCATGATAGCATGCTGTTGGGCTTGCTTCTGTTCTTAGGACTAGCAAACAAAAAAACCCACTGGTTTGAAAAATTTTCTATTCAGTTTTCCACCAAAAGATTTAAACAATACGTGCTAACAACACAACCAAACCCAATGCTAATATAGGCTGTTGAGTCTTGGGTATTAAAAAGCAGAGGTTTTCTGTGTTGCTGCGTCCATTGAACATTGATTATGTTTTTCTGCATTATCTGAATGGAATAAAGGGTACAATCCCTGGTGGAACATTCAGTGTCCTATTTGTGTGGCAGGATGCGGGCAGGGAGGTATACTCAGAAACCACCCTTCCCCATCCAGCTCCAGGAGTGGCACCATAGAAAAAACTCTTCTTTGTGAGGTGGAGAGGAGGAAAGAGGAAGGGTAAAAGGAATTAGCGTCTGGACTTAGCTACTGTGAAGCGTCTCTTCGTGACAGCTTGAAGCTCAATTGAGGCACACAGGAATTTCCTGGCAGAGTTAATTCCATCACTGGTCATTATAATTTGCCATAGCTAGGAGCTGGATGTATATGAAATAGTTTTTTTCTGTGAAGACTGGTTCATACTGCTTCTTACAGCTATTTGAGTCAGAGAATGAGATCCCCCAAAAAGTTATTTGTGCATAGAGCTCTCAGGCTGGGATTAGTTCTGCTCTTTCTTTTGTTACTTGCAGGTAATTCATAATTTACTTACAAGAAGTCGCAAAGGAGTTATTAGCTGTATCAACAACATAGTCTCCAGAAGAGTGCTTAGACATAGAGCGGCATAGTTGTTGCCAAGAACTGATGGAAGTGAAATTTAGTTTTCAGTGAATGTAATAGGCTCCTAAAAACTGCTAAAACTGGATTTGTTTCCTGAAAAATCAACATCAAAACTCAGTAGTGGGTGCGTTAGGCCAAAACTGCAAGCAATTTCAAATCATCACGTTCGACTTAACTCAGAGGAAGGACTGACAAGGCTTGCTTGCTTCTTGGCACAGCCTGCCCAGTCACATTCCGCAGTTTCCATTTGGAACCACTGAAGTATAAAGACAGGCAATTGCTCACCAGCCAAGAAATTAACAATAAACCAAAGAATTCCAATGCGGCATTTTAGCCTTATCTCTGAATCGGTTCAGCTTTCGTAGTTCCCAACTAAATAATGTGTCTGGCCATAACCTGTTTATTTTTACACCTGTAGTTAAACCTGGCCCCTGCTGTACACCGAGGTAGTCCTCTGAGGTCATTGAGTGCCTCTGGCACAACGTCCTGTTGGCATGTCCTTGGGTGCAGAATGGGGCCTGGCCCTCCATGGGAACATCCTGTCTGTTGCGCCCAGTTTTTTGCATTTTTGGGGATTATGGTTGGGTTTTCACTCACATCTCAATTTCAGCAGGGCACTCTCTTTTCGGCGACCCGGAAAGCTCTGTTGAGACAGCTCCAGAGGAGGCGGAAGCACAAGACTTGGAGTCATCTGATGAGGCCGATAAAACAACCAAGGTGAGAAAGTTTCATTTTTGCATGACAAGGAGCGAAAGCGCAGTACGCTCGCAGCTGATGTGCTGACTTCACAGCTGCACACAATTACAGCATCTTTCCTGGGAAAATGTTAATCTTACTTTTAAGGTGTTTACGGATGATATTGAATGTAACAAATTGCAGCTTTGATTACGGCGCATCACTACCTCTTGAGCAAGACTTGTGCCCTTTTTCCAGGGCTGATTCACATTGTCAGCATCTTGTGATAATATTCCCACATAGTTTTTAAATGTGATGGCTTATCACCTACTTCACCAGAGCAAGTCAGCTAAACCAAAAGATCAGATGGATTATTACAATTTCTTATTTTCTCCATTTCTAGGCATAGGAGGAATGTAAGTTAAACAGTATTTCCTTAAATCACTAGCATAGCAGCATGCTAGTTTTTAAATGCAAACTAATTATAGCCAATCTACCTGAAATTGAAGCAAAACTCTCCAATTATAGCTAAGAGGTTGTGTAAATGGATTGCTAATTGTCACCTATTAAGGGATGGGTTTGGCAATGGTTGGTAGTTTGCACTTGCTGTGGTGCTGAGGGGCTTTACACAACATTAGGTGTGATGATTAGTGGCTTTTGAGGGAGAATCAAGTGAGACTATTTTAAAGACATTGATTGCTTTTAGGTATTTGTTGCATAGGTGATGGTGAGAGCTTACAGCCATTTTTCTACAGAATTAATGATCTAATGAGAATCAGATCGCACTCAGTTTTTGCTGATGTACCAGTGTGTTTTTTCTCAGCTCTGGTTTTAACTAAAATGTGTTATAGTGAGCTCTGAACTGGTCCCGGTGCTATTCCTCTCGTCATTGTAGTGAAAGGAAGGAAGGAAAAGACCCTGGCCTCTTGTTTCCTGATCTCTTACGTCATGCTAGCCTGTAGTTTTGTCTTTGATAGCCGGACAGTGGAAGTCAGATAAGAGAAGACATTCCTATGCATGAAATACATGTGGAGCTTGCATGCAGAGAAGGTGATTGCTGTTACAGTTTGTTTCCAGGTTTCATTACGGAACTTTTTCTTGTACGTAGAAAGAATTTCTTCTCCAGTAAGTGGAAGTGTTTGTTGATGCTTTGGGATTTTTGACTGTAAATATGTGGGATTTTCATATGCTCTGAAAACAGTCTCTTCTGTTAAACACTGAAGCTGCGGAAGAGCACCGAGCATAACACATAGCTACTTGGGGAATAAATGTTCTCGCTGTGTTTTCCGTAGCTTTCTATTTCTGAACTGTGTGACAGGCTGTGGGGTTCCATTTTTTATCTTGCCTCCTGGATCTTCAGAGCTGTAATTGCCTGAAGCAAGGCGTAAGGATTACGTGATTAGCCCTCTGGCTCAGCAGATTTAGTTAAACTGAGAAATGTTCATTAGCAGCTTTAATGCTTAATATTCATAAATTGGGAGAGTAACTCGTAACTCTAACAAGCCTCGGTTGCCAACGAGAGGAAAATCTGTCTCTCTGTAAATGGAATGTTGACATCAGTACATGTTTTCTTTTATAATTCAGAAATATGTCTTGTTTTGTTTGTGTGATACAGAGAGGAGTGAGGCATTTTTCTTCACATTCTGTTTCTTATGGGATGAACTGCTTGAAATGGTTTTCCATAAAAAAAGAAGCACACATGTACGTATAGTATATACATTGTGCTCCATTTGGGAAACTCATGAACGCCACTGTCCCTGTTCACATAGAAGAGCTCTGTACTAAGTGGGCTTGTTTCGTGGTTCTTCTCTAACGAAAGCTACAGAAACCCTCTAATGCTTATAGAGAATTCCAGTGTGGGGTAGAGGGGAGGATATCATTGCTTGCTAATTGCATGCTGATTTTTAAATACAACAACAATGAGAAAAAACCTAGCCTAAAAAAGCTCAGTTAACCACAGGGTTTTCCTAATCCCTTTGCGTTTCTGGATGCTGGGGAAAGCCAATCTGCATGGGAAGTAAGGAGTCTACAACACATATTTTTCCATGAAAAGTCACCCCTGGGCTGGTACGTTGAGAAAAAAGCAAAGATGTTTTCCTGTCCATGCACTGCCACACCTTTCCATGCTCCCAGGATTATGGAGCAGAAGATTAAGCTGATGTCCTCAGCACTGTTTTACACGGGTTATTTTTGTACGTGGGAAGTGAAACGCTCAGCCCTCGTACCACCAGGAGGAGCATCTTCCCCGCTATCGCCATTACAGCCACAGCTTCCAGTCTCCCTCGGATGGTGGAGTTCAGGGGAGACTTTCTTTCTTGTCTGCCCTTCTTGGCAAAAGCAGGGCAGGAGCACTCTCATCCATTCACCGCTGGGCAGCAGAGGAAATCCAGTTTAACTACGCTGGAGCCTCCCAGCTAAACGCAGAGTTCCCCTTCTTTCAGCGCAGAGGAAGCGTTAGCAGCCGAAGACCCAAAAATAGGGTTTGGGATACCTTTTGCCTTGCGATAGCATGATCCTGGGGCAGGGTTGAATCCTGCAAACAGCACCGCGCCGTGCTGCTGGCGGTCTGCTGATGCCTGCAGAGTGCTGCAGAGGAGAAGAGCTCCGAGCTTCTCCAAGGAAACTTCCTGGCTCTCCATCCAGCAAAGCGATCCTGGGAGAAAGTTAATAATTCATGGGTAAAGGAGAGGAACGCCGCGCTGCAGCTCTCCTTCATCTGCTCGTGTAGCACAGGCTGGGTGGGCTTTTTGTGGAGGTAAGCTGTTTGAAATCCTACCAAAAGCTGGGCGTCGGTCCCTTCTGACTTGCCTGTAATTTCGTCGCATAGGTGGTAGGTGGATTTATGACACAGGAGGTACTCGAATGTGTCTTCTCTTCTTCTCCTCCTCCTCCTCCTCCTCCCTCCCGGCTGAAAAAAACAGCCCAGCATGTGTGCACGTGGGTGTGTTTCCTTAGTAGTGGTGCGTTTGTTTCTTAATCTGCAAAAGCCTCCAAGCTGTTGATGGTGGTGAAGGATTTGAAGGGTATACCAGTAGCTCTGAGGATTCCTCCCTGTTCCGAAAATCTTATCTTCTGTGTATCCTAAAGACCTAATAACGTAGAGTTTACTTCTCCATCACTATTGTCAAAAGAATTGTTATAATAATAAGCAAAAATGGGATGTCTGTAGAACTATTCTCATAAAATAATAGAAACCCATTTCCAAGATGGCTTGAGGCATCTGTAGTGCAGCGGTGTGGGATAGCTGTTGTTCTTTGGACTTGCTCCCTATCTAATTTCATGATGCCTTTCCAGTATCCAGCAGCCGCCTTAGGTACGGTATCTCTTGGGTTGAAATCTGTGTAAACAGTAGGAAGCAGGTACGCTTTCTGGCTGCAACTCTATTCCTTTAAGCCGTGCAACTGACAGTGGCCCGAGTTACGCTCCCATGTGCTTCTGCTCTGGCATGGGCTCCTGACTTTCCCTTCTCTCCCTATTTTGCGTGGGAGCCAAGAGGAGAGTAGGGGAAAGGAAATCCTGCTCTCTGCCACCTCTTCAGGCTTGTTTTCATCTAGCTTGTGAGTTCGAGTTTCAGGTTGTTTACGAAATCTAGATGATGCCCCTCTGTTAGTCTCCAATTCAACAGGGTATGGGGAACATTTCGTTCCAGAGTAATTTCTTAATTGGTTACTTGCCTTTGTGGTGAACTGACTGTTTTGACCTTTTACATATTGTAGAATAAATTGAGGTTCAAAGGAGATACCTTGAAAACTGAGTATAAGTGTGAGTTCTTAATGTTCCAGGTTACCAAAGGCTAAGATGGGTGTTGTGTTGCATCTCGAGATCAATCTTTGTGCATATTTTTTCCTGTAGTGGTCCTTTGAATTTATTTGGGATGTGTTTTAAAAACTGTCATCAGTTAAAATACTGCAGGACACTCATTTCTCCCTGTTTCTAATTAAAGACATCTGCCTCTTGAAATGAAAGCTAATTACCTTGCAGCACTTGTGCTTGGGGGAGCGTGCTGTATCGGGCTGTGTGTGTACATGCTTATACTATTTAGAGGTATTTTTTTTCTGAGAAAATAGGTCGTTTTCCCTCTGCAGCATTATTCAAGACCAGAATTAAGTCTCAAAACCTTCAATGTGTTGCAATAGATGTGAAAGGATTAGAATGGGGATTTGAGGGGTAGGTTTTCCGGTAGTGTAATTGGCTTTTTTAAGTTCTTTTAATTCTGTGTCTCGGTCCCTTCAGATGTTTAATATTCTTCAGCTGTGCCGTTCGTAGCCAATCGGCTTTTTAAAAAAAACAGACATTTATATTCCTGGGCTGCCTTCACCTCTGCTTTGCTGCATTTCAGCCTCTCTGCTGAAGTTTTCCTCTTAACGAGTCTATGAAAAACAGCGTTGAGTTCTCAGCTTCGACTGGGAGCCGGATCTTAATTCCAGCTGATGCGGTGAGTGAACGAGGCCGGCGGCAAATGATACATGCGAAAGGCTTTGCTTAGAGAAATATGGTCCCTGCCCTTCCTTATTAAAATGCAGCCGTCTTCTGCATTGCGTGCCAAGTAAGCAGCACGGAGTATCTGTCTGGAGTGGGAAAGCCTTTTCGGATCAGCTGAAGATGTGGAGAACTGGGATTTTCCTCCTAGCTGAGTGACAGCTCTGGCAATACTGCCTTTCCAGCGATGTCGGCTCTTTGGAGAGTTAACCGTAAACTCAAGAACGAAAGCGCTGGGCGAGCTGGTGACTCTCTGTACCGTATGCTGTATTTGGTGAGCAGATCTACTGTGCAACGCGACTAGTCTAAGTAATTAGCAGTTAAACGCATTTTCATGCTGTTTTAATTTTCAGGTTATGAATTTGAGGCTGAGCTGTAACGTATATACCCTGTAGGGGCTTTTTGTTGCTGTGCAATGTCATTAGCAGTGCATGAAAGGATGCCATGTGCCTGAGTTTTGTTCGGGAGATCAGTACTGCTTAGAGTTTGCCATCCGTGGCGGAACAGAGGTGCTGCATGTCGTTCAAGGGAGCAATCTGCCTGATGCCCAGGCACCCGTATATTTTTATTTGGTGAGCACAAGGGGAAATGGCACTCCGCTCTCACAACTATAGGCAGGCAGCCAAAACTCCCCACTGTGGGCAGCATCAGCATGCTTGATGAGTTTAAGGACGTGCTCCTCCTGCATGGGAAGGATGTGAGCTTAGCTCTTCTGCCAAGCCTCCTGCTGAGGAAGGGTTAATGTACTTGCAAAATAAACTTGGCTTTACAGCCCAGTTGTGCCAGCCCTCCGTCTCATTTTAAGGTTGCTAGATGGGATTGCTTGCAGAATTGTGCCTGAAGTGCGATGCTGTATTTCTCCTGGAGGAATCCTCGTTCAGTGCTATCATGTTGCAGCTGGCAAACAGCTGGTACTGGCAGACAAAAGGATCTGTTTCTTTTCCAGACCTTCTCTACTCTATCCACTTTCTTAAGGAAAATGGGGATGGAGAGGCTTTTGTTAATACTGTCCGGGAGTTTTCAGCAAAACAGCTGTGGTCTGAACATCCCTGGGTGCAGTATGCATCTGCTTTCTGCCTAGAAATTGATTTTTTTAAAGTAAATATAAGGTAGCGAGGATTACGTTCAGGAAGGAAACCAGGAATGAAAATTTGTTCAATGAACAAGCAAGAAAACAGGTTTGTGAACATTGTTGTGCAGTAGACTTCTCATCTGTCCAAAGAGCATTGGGTGAATGATGCTTGGGAAGTATGTAGAAGAGGTGAGGCAGGGCAGCGGGAAGGCAGAGCTCAGCCCTGCCGCAGGCTGGAGCCGGCCATGGCTGAAGTCAGCGAGCGGTTCGTTAAGTGTGCACAGGTGGAGATAAGGCTTTTACAAGTCTTCTACGCTTCCTTTTTGGCATATGGGTGTAGCTGTTCCTTCTGGGGCACACTGTATGCCTATATGACAGTTATCCAATTTTCAACTACTTGCTGGTGTTTCATGGTGTAAGTGGATTTTCACTCTCTTTCTGGGTCACCCATCTTTCACTGCAACTTACTGCAAGTCTGTTCGCAGGATGGTGAGCTGTCTGCGGGGTATCAAGCATGAACTGCTTAAAACACTTAGTTTATTTTTAGGGTTCGATTCCATACTTGGTTTACACATTGTAACTATTTTTAAGTGTACATTGGGCTCTTACAACAAAATGTCACTGGATATGCCCTCCTCAAATACTCTTTCACAAAATAGTCTTAAGAAAGCTAAATGTATCTGCAGATTCAGATTAACATCTGTTAATTGTCAGTTCTTTGTCCCTTTCCAGCAGAGTGGGTAACTCGGGGGAGGAGTTGAGGAACATGGTTTAGGGACCCTGACAGTGCAGGGTGAATGGTTGGACTCGATGATCTTGAGGGTCTCTTCCAACCAGATGATTCTATGATTCAGGCCTTTTTTTTTTTTTGCCTGCACTGGAGCCATACTTTCACCTACTGTACTTTGTGGATTGGGGCCGTTGGGATCAAGATCGCACCTGTTGAAATCTAATGCAAACTTAACCTAAAATTTTGAGTATGCTTTGGATATACTTAAGAGTACAGCAAGTATAGGTGGAACCTTGCTGAGAAGGAAAAGGAATTACTTTGACTAATAAATCCAACTCTGTGACATGGGCCATTACCAGAATCTGAGTGAGTTTGAAGTGAATTGGTCAACTCACTGCTTCCCTCTGCCCTCCACTTAGAACGTTTTTCCTTTCTTCCTCATCTGAGTTAAACCTCAGATACTGAAGATGAATATTTTTCCTGTAATAAACTGCATCCAAGAGGCATTTTTGCATAGACAGTCAGTTGCAATTAGTTCATTGCTTGCATTTGTGTCCTGAAGAAAATTATCCTTTGCATAACAAGCATCTTTAGTAATATGCCTTGCAGTGGTACACTTAGGTAAGCATTTACAGCCATAAAAGCTGTAAATTTAGGGAAAGCAACTGTATTATGGCAGGAAATCCTTTACTTGTCACTAGCATGGTTAATGCTCCTCTTGGGCTTCATGGCTGTGTAGTGCTATAGGTGCACTGAGAGGGGAGAATAGCTGCATGTGAGCAGACTGCGCAGCTTAAAAAATACAGAGGTTTTTCAGCACTGAGTCATCACGAAGGTGTGGGGTACTGCAGACTCTGGGTGATGTTCTTGCTACCTGCTGGTGAGAGTGAAGTGGTGTCCCAGGGGTCAGAGCTCTGTCTCCAAACTGCAAGGTGGTGATGTGCTCTCTTCTTTATTTTTTTTTTTTATTTTATTTTTATTTTTTTTGTTTGTTTGGGGTTTTTTTTTTTGGGGGGGGCAGGTTTTTTTTGCCTCCTCTCTTTGCATATTCTCTGTTTGAACAGACTAATTTTGGGTAAGTTGCTTTAGTATGGACTGGAGGGCTACAGAGACAGTGCTGGAAGGTCACTAAATCTGGGTTAAGATACTGTGGCAGGATTAGATGCAGAAGGTTAGAGAGATATGATCAAGTGCAGCTGCTCTTTTCCCTCCCATGCTCCCACGCTCCCTCCAGGTCACTGGGAAGGATGGAGACCGAGCACACTGCTGCTTTGGCAACCCTAGAAGCCTGGGGCTGTCGTCACTGACACCAGAGACTATACCTGCTCCAAACTTTTCAGCGTAACGAAAGATGTGAGAAGATGATCTAACATGAGGAGGTGAAGAGAGGATAACTGTCTTTATATATAGACAGCTGATTAAACATTAAAGAAACCAGCTAGATGTAAAAGCTCTGAAAAACCTGACTTACAGGGAAGAAATTCACCCTGCAAGGCATGTTTCCAGACACAGACCAGATCTACGGTTACTTTCCCAAAGAGCTTGCTTTTGAAGCCCGGAGAGGCTTGGGTTCCCCAGATGGCTCTTCTTCCCCAAAGTGGTTTCTATCTCTGCTTTGTCTCCTTGGTTGTGTTGACACAGCTATTTACAGAACTGTTGCAAACTGGATTAGGGAACTGGCAGAGGGCTGGGGTGTGAGTTTTGTTTGCACAGTCATTTTTAGTTCCCGATTCTTGAGCCTTTTTGTTTGTTTGTTTTTCAGTCTTAAATGCTGGACGAGCCTATTTTAATTAAAGCTCATGATTGTCTGATACCAGGAATGTTATTGAACATTCCATTCACTTGAATCGTACAACTCTTTTTTTTTTTTTTTCCCCCCCTTATTCTCAGTCACTGAGAGATAGGATAGACAGATCTATGAAATGATGTGTACACTTCTGGACTTTGGTGGCTGTTAAAAAGCCCCCAGGCTGCAACTGCTTAACTGCAAAGGCTTCTCAGCTCCATCGTTCCTACAGCTCTTACCTAAAATATTACCGCTCGTCTTTCCTTTTCCTTCTTTTTAAAGAGTACAGAGCAGGTCGCTGCTTTCTGTCGCAGTCTGCATGAAATGAACCCTTCTGATTCAAGTGCTCATCCTCAGGAATTTACAGGACCCCAGCTGGCCACCATGAGGCAGCTCACAGATGCAGATAAACTGCGAAAGGTTATCTGTGAACTTCTCGAGACGGAACGCACCTATGTCAAAGTAAGGGGTCTTGATGTATTGTTTCAGTCTGCTAATATTTCTCCTCCTTCTGGAAAATTTTGCTAGTTTCTCCTCTAATACTTCAAATGATGTTTTGTGCACGTATCTCTGCATTAACTTGCATTCAATCCTACAGCCTGTCCCTAGAATAGTAACTTAAACCTCTGAAATAAGTAGGCTTTCCAAATTCTGATTCTGTCATTTTGAAATTACTTGTCTGGTGTGCAGAAGAACACTGCTCAATGAGCTCCAGTATTGATTTTGTAAGTAAAACGGTGTAAATGTTTCCTTTTACTATCTTAAATTCTGTGAAATCCAACTATTTTGTCTTATGTGTGAAAGGGAAAAGTTCATAGACTCGGTAAATGGTGATCTTTACCACTTCAGTAAATACTGAGAGGCAGTTCAAGGAACCAACATGGGAATCTTTTTCTGAATTTTTAGGACTTAAATTGTCTAATGGAGAGATACCTGAAGCCTCTACAAAAGGAAACGTTCCTCACACCAGATGAGGTATGTTAACTCTTCCTTCCCTTTTTGCTAGATAGTTTACACACACCTCTGCACTCCCCTCACTCCCCAGCTTGACTTGCTTGTCTGAGCAAGGGCTATGGAGAAATTTTGAATTACATTTCTTTTAAAATAATAGATTGAGTAGAGTATAAAGGAATTGCTCAGTAATGTATAGTCTAGTTTTTTTTTTCCTGACATCACACTGATTATACAATTGGACTGAGAATTTACTGAAGTTCTAGAAAATGTGATTTAGCTGCAAAGTGGTATTTTCAGCATCATGCTTTTTTTTTTTTTTTTCTCTTATTAGCTGGATGTTCTCTTTGGGAATCTGACTGAAATGGTAGCATTCCAGGTAGAGTTCTTGAAAACTCTTGAAGATGGAGTAAGGCTGGTTCCAGACCTGGAAAAGCTTGAAAAAGTTGAGCAATTTAAGGTAATCTTGTTGTCTACATTCAGAGTAGTCCTTTAACACTCTTTATTTTATTTGTCTGACTACTGTCACTGTTCATGTGAAAACCTACATCTGCTCAAGATTAATTGTTAGTTAATATTGGAACTGTTTGAAAACCATCCTGCTAACGATTGTAGTTCATGCTACATTTATCCATATAGAGCACTAAAAAAATCTGTAACGCCATGTGCTTTTAGATGCTATTCCTGCCCTTCTGCCAGATTTTTTTGTCTCAGGCTGTCACAAAAAGCTGGAAATGGAAAGTTACATAAAATCTTTGTTCTGACAAGTCTAATGTAGTAGTTCAGAAGCCTACTAGGGCTACAGATCAGAACTATAAATTGAATTCTGTATTGAGGCTTTTGATACATAGTGGAACTATATGGCAAAAACTATCAGCAGATATGCATCAAACATAGAAATGTAAACTAAAGATATATGAACTTCATTTTTTTAAAAAAAAGCAATAGTAAAATGTGGAAACAGAAACTTTGTTTTATTTCTAATGTAGTCATGTACTGGATATATGGCAAGTAGCTAATACAGTGTTTAGTCTTTGGGGAATTTTACTCTTGCTTTGAGCACTCACCTTGGTAGAGGACAGGATGTCTTGATGAATAATAATAATTCCATGGGGATTGCTCTTCAGCTAACACACAGCCCTGGAAGAACTACTGAAAGAAGTTGACTTTTTTGTATGTGTCTGGCTTTGCCATCAGGTACTTGTTTAAAACAAGCGTCAATGGTGAACACAGCCCTCGTGTAACTAGAACACAGCTTTTGTTTTGTATAACAGAAAGCACGGAGGTACTTTTTTAGTGGAGGAAGCTTCTGTGACCACTGTGTGCTCTGAGCTTTGAGAGAGGAGTGTGGAAGAAGCTTCCTTATGGAGACAACTCTGTCTTCTGAGCGCTGCTGCTTATTCCACCTCTTTCCATAAAACGTGCATCAACTTCGCTTCTGTCCTATGGGCATGGTCTGAAAGCAGTGTGCAAAATGAGACTTCAGGGATTCATGGTTTCAATTCCGCAGTTTGCTTCCCTCTGCTTGCTCTAGGCAAGCTGCCTAGGTGTTGTCGCCTCCAGCCCCATGTTGTCTTCTTCTTCCTAAGCGGGTAGTGGAGCAAATGCTTGACCATGGCATAGACCTGTTAGGGAAGGATTGTGTTTGGCCCTTAACACAAACTCATTTTCAAGAGAGTGAAGACCTTGGTGTGTTTGTGCAGGGGGATGATAGTCTTGCTTGCAGCTCCTTAGTGTCTTAATCTATTACAAAGTCAGATTCATCCAGTCCTTCCTGTGGCCTCTGGTCATTACTTAGATCAATAAGGGTTTAAGCTCAGGCATTTAAATACAGTTTGGGAGCTGTGAACCCAGTTCTCTGTATAGTCAGTGGTGTCTCCAGATGGTCCTAACAGGAATTTGGATAATGATGTTAATCACTTAGCCTCAATCCAGGCACCAAGGCTGGGCCTGTTTCTTGCTAGATGGTGTGAAAACACTCCAAAAATGCAGTGTCCTGTCATCTGGAAGCTAAATGGAAACTTCAGGTGACCCTGCAGAAGGGAAAATAACTCACTGGCTTTCATGTGCTTTTTTTTCTAACACCGTTTTTTTTTTTTAAATCCTAGAAAGTGTTGTTTTCCTTGGGTGGATCCTTTCTTTACTATGCTGACCGATTCAAGCTGTACAGTGCCTTCTGTGCCAGCCACACGAAGGTCCCCAAAGTACTGGTGAAAGGTAAGAGCCGTGTGCTGGACAAACAGACCTGGGCATGCAGAGAGAGAGATGTTGCAGTGAAGTGTTGGCTTGAGCTGGCACAGATTGCCCTTGTGGATGATGAAAGGTGGCCGCTGCACCCCAAACCATGCAGGGCAAGTTGTGGCAGAGGAATGGGGGCGCACATGTGCCTGGTTGCTCTCCAGGAGCCTCTGCAGTAGGGAAATAAGTCCATCTGGCTTAAGAGGCTCACAGAGAGCTCCATGCCATGGGTGTTCTTGGACCACCATCGATGTAATGATACCTGAGTAGCCCATTACAAGAGGTTGTTAACCTCATGTGTAGTTTTTCCCCCCACAATTTATTCTCCCTTGACATGTTCAGTTTCTTTTCAGTCATGTGGGGAGTGGAAAGATTTCATAAATGGGCAATGTGGCTTGTGCTACTGTATCACTGTGTACTTTGGAACCAGGAGTGGTGACACTTGTAATGACCTCTGGATCCTCCTAGAGGTTGCCGCAAATCCTTGCTTGTGGCAATTCCACTGAAGCTGCAGCCAATGTGGTTGAACGCTGACAGCGACTAGGAACAGATCGCCCTGGGAGAATGTTTTATGGAAGCTGTCTAAATATTTTAACTTCACTGTGCTCTCTCTCCCCTCTCTGTCTCCTCTCACCTTCATTTCAGTTTGCCTGAGAAGTTTCCATGTACAAATTTCTAGCAGAGCTTGGCTTGCTGAGAAGGAGATAAATGAACTGTGGTCTGGCTTATAAACGCTCGTGGGCCTCCTTGCCTTGGAGTGATGCTTTTTCCCCTGTGAAAGTGTTAATCTCTTAGAGCTAGCAGTGCTTCATGCGATTCATTTTTGGCCAAGACATTAAATAAACAAATGGTTCCAATCGTAGGAGCAATGCTGTTAAGGGAGGAGCTCGTATTTTTCAAAGAACGTCTGGATGCCTGACAATCAAAAGTTTCAGATTTTTTTGTTTCTTGGTTGTTGGTTTTGTTTTGCTTTTTTTTTTGCGGTACACATTTTTTTTTTAAATTTCTACTTGTAAACTCTTTATTTACTATGCTGCAAAGAATACTTGGCAGCTCTATGGAATACATGAATAAATGATTTGTTGCTAGTCACATCCATAATTTCTTTCCTCATCATTTTGTTAGACCTTAATGTAGACTTAGGTAGGTCTGGTTGTTGTGTTTTGCCTTTTCATTGCTGACTGTATTTATAAATAAGAAATGGTTGTGCTTGAATTATCACACAAACAGAACTTAAAATTTTATTCCAGAGCTAAATCTCTTAAAAAGCCTGGGAGCGTGTTTCAAGTGTAATTTGATGTCCTCAGCTGAGGTGCAGGTGGCTTTTTGGCTTTAAAATTGAAGTTGCTTTATTGAAATCAGGTGACTGTCTGCAAAAAAACCATCCAACCTCAGTGGGGGACATGACTCTAATAAAAGCAATTGTGTGGAATTGTTCCTGCACTGCATAACTTGTATGTCTAAAAGTGGTACCTTCTTCATGCTTCCTTCCGTGTACAAATTTATGTTCTAGTAGAGAGATCAACAGACAAAACAATATTTTTATAAATTCAGTAGCAGCCAGGCAGAAAAATTACAGCAATCAGGTGTCCAGTCTGCTGTTGCTTCCAAAATATAGTGTACTATCATGTTTACTGCTTCCTGCCTGCTTCCTAGCACTTGATTTTTGATGTTGTTGTTCAATACTGCATTTTAAGGTTTAACGAGGTAACAATAACCAGACTCACCAATATTGTAGGTGTACCTGTCAGACTAGACTCATGAGTAGTGACTTGTTACAAATACTCCATTTGAGCCTTTTCTTAAAGGAAACAGATGATTGAAACAATATATGCTGCTCTAAAGTAGTTGAAAGGCCAGAAATACTGTGGATAGTGAAATTAAAACCTGCATGTTTTGGTACAGTAAGTGGGTGCCTGATGCTGAATCATAAATAGCATATCTGTGGCACAGTGTCAGTAACTCAAAACTTGAAGTGCATAAATCTAATACTGTGGACCTGATAAATCTTCACTTCCTTGCAAAATGTCTTTGGATAAATGAATTTAAAGCTGGAAAAGTCACTTTATCAGGGCAGCTGTTCGGATTTTTGATTTATCCGATCGCTTCATTTTAATCTTCCAGCCAAGACAGACACTGCTTTCAAGGCATTTCTGGATGCTCAGAATCCCCGACGGCAGCACTCCTCCACGCTGGAGTCTTACCTCATCAAACCCATACAGCGGATACTGAAATACCCTCTCAGCTCTTTGCTCTGACTGACGTAGACAGTGAAGAACATTATCACCTTGATGGTAAGGAGCTAACCTACATTGCTCTTCCCCGTTTAACCTCTGATCTGAAACCCTCCTACTCCCACCTCCTCTCAGAGGCTTAAAAATACCTTCTGTCTCTTCCCCTATCTCTCTTTCTTCTAGTGGCCATAAAAACAATGAACAAAGTTGCCAGCCACATTAATGAAATGCAGAAAATCCATGAAGAATATGGGGCAGTGTTTGACCAACTCATAGCAGAACAAACAGGGGAGAAAAAAGAGGTAACAGATGATCAAATTTAAAAGAAAAAGGCTGTTATTTTGAGTCATGTAGCGTGAATGTTAAATTGTGTCAAATATTTACCTTTTGTGCAGCGTCATTTAAGTGGATCCTAGTGCAAACAGATAAATCCCAATCCAATTCAAAAACTGCTTTTCCATGTACAACTCAGTGAGTGAGACCACTGTAAAGAAGTAGTGGGTTAAATCACCTTCAGTGTTGTGCTTGGGTCAAAACCACATCCCAGCTTGCAGTTCACTATTTTGAGGTCCATGTCTTGGACCTCCTCACTCCACATAAATGATCTTGCCTCACCTGTCTGAGTGGACTGGCATGCTGAGGCAAGTCTGTACTTAGCTCTTTAATCACTTTAAAGATATCAAAATGTGAGGTGCAGCGTGTGAGAAACTGCTCTTTCTGTTTTAGAAGGTGTGTTAGTGGGCTTGATATGTGAGAGCCCCTTGGGCTTTGGTCTATATGTCTCATATGGTGCATATACAAAAGTGTGAAGATCCAGTGTGGCTCAGTCCTGGCTGACCATCTCAGAAACCCGTGGAGGGTGTCTCGAAGTTTCAGACTGAGATCTGGACTCTCCGTTTACTGATAAAACATAGGTCTGCAGTCCAGCAGCGCAGTGAAGGAGAGTGGTGGGCAGTAACATGGGAACGGAGTGAGGTCGAGGGAGATTCAAGGATGAGGTAGAGACTTACTAAAGGGCTGATGGGAGCAGCGATGTGAGTGAAGGCTGGAGAGACATGACCACATGAAGTAATGGCAATGGGGTTTTGCCAACAGCCATGATGAAGAACAAACATAAGAGGCATTGGGCTACAGGGCAAAGGAGGTCTGGGATTGAGTAATGTTGAGGAAGCTTTGGGTGTGAGAGCTGGATAGCAGCAGCAGGGAGGGAGGATCAGATGGTGCACAGAGGGCAAAGACCAAAGTTGGTACTGGCAAGCAGCGCTGGAGAGAGCATGTCGGGACATCTGTTGGGAAAGCAGTCGTGGTTTGGTGTTAATGTGGAAGAGGGGACAGCAAACACATATCTTAGTGTTGTTCTTGTTATTGAGGAGACCTCAGGTTATTGTGGTGATGGTATCTGTGGTGTCCTTTGGCAAAAGTCAGACTACACTGAGAGGAGGATGGAGGAATGGGCTTACATGGCCCCTAGAGTGGGGATAGCCCTCCATTTGTCACTCTCAGAGGCTGTAAGTCGAAGTGCAAGATCCAGTTGCTGCAATATTAGTAGGCATCATCATAACAGTTGTTATAAACTCCTTTACTGGTCCATTTTCAGCAATGTGGTTTCCACAGATGAGCCTTTGCGTGAAATCAAGAGCCATAGCTACTGTGGGGAGGAAGCGCTTTGACTGCTTCACGTGATGCAGCCTCTAAACTTTACCCTAAACTCTGTGTGTGTGATGGGGGCTATGCTTAAATGTTCAAACAAAATAGAAAGAAACTGGTAGAGAGAAAGATGGACAAAGGAGCAAAAAATGCAAGGAAAACATCTGGGTTTTTCCCTGCCTTCTATCCAAATTATGAGAGCTGGACTCTTGAGTTTGACTTCTAATTTATGCTCACCATTTAAGGATTTACATGCATCTGTTGCCAACTGTCACAGTCTGTTTGCAGACGCTTGCAGTCATCTGGTTAAATATTCCAAAAGTTTGCTCGTGGGGTGTGTGTTTGTTTGTTTAAGAGTGAAGTTCAAGCAAGTTTTCTTGAACCGAAAATTCAAGTAAGCTTTCTTGAACTGATTACGCATTGTGTCTTTGTGCGTGTGTTTGTGTTGGCAGGTTGCAGACCTTTCGATGGGGGACTTGCTCTTGCATAATACAGTGATATGGCTGAATCCTCCTGCTTCACTGGGGAAATGGAAGAAGGAACCTGAGCTGGCAGCATTTGGTTTGTATCCCAGTAATTTTATTTTGGATGCCTAAAAGACTGTCGGCTGTGCCTTAGCAGATGTTTGTTGAAGGTAGCTAAGCATTGCCTTCCGCAAGATTGACTGGAACCTAAACCCATATTTTCTCTTTGCTGCAATAGTCAAATTCTGTTCTGTGTTGATCTAAATCTGGTGAAGAATTTGGAGATGACTGCTGTAGTAGTGCAAGGGTTTCTTAAACCCATACCCGAGGCTATGAATTGAGGGCTTTATAGAAAAGTATTTGTCTCTGGAAAGATATAGTTCAATAGTCTAATCGATGCCAAGTCACTCTACTTCACATCCTGTAGGATGGGGTTGGGAACTTGAAGAGAGTTTGCCTTTTTTCTCTGTGCCTTTTGCCAGAAAGAAGTTGTATGTCTAAACTTTAAAAAGCACTTAAAAGCTAAGCCAGGACTCCCAGTGAGTTACTTTTGAGTGGTCTGTCTCCTTCCCTTTGAGCAGTCTATCTTGGGTGGCCAAACTAGAAATTGAAACTGTTTGTTGGCATAGATCTCAAGGTCTTTCCACTGCATTGGAGTATGGTCCCTTGGAAAGGTACATGATCGCTTATATTGGCTAAATCATGTCTCTTCTACTTTGCAAATTGTATCAAGTAGTGCAGAGTGTGCTAGGTTTTCTTTATTTGTTCCTAAATTTCTTTACACGCAAAGAGCTTTTTCCTTGTTGTTTCTGTTGTTTCCAGAAAGCGATGCTGATTAGGAAGCCAATGATTTTTATTTTTGGTTTATACCAAACAGATAACAAACGCAGGCTCTTCCAGCTTTGCTCTGGAAGAGCATATAAAAATTAACTGCTTTCCTGTAAGTTGGGAAAGCACCTGGTCATACCCTGAAGCTGAGAGGCCTCATGAAAGATGTTAGGAATGTGCAGCCACTCTTAATTACTGCAAAAAGCTTTAAATTGGTTTCATACAATGTCCAAAGCTAAGCGTCCATGCAATTCAATCCTAAAACAAAGGGTGCGTTTGAGGCCTGAAGAAAGAGATCCCAAAGAAAACTGGAGTCTTAAAAGACAAATTCCAGCTCCAAGTGGATGTTAGGTGGCAAAAGAGGAATCGGATTACACCTCTGCCTGCCAGTAGTGCTCATTTTTTTTAATTCAGCATAGTCCACTGTCCCACCTGGGAGGGGTTCAGACTCTGTCCTCATCTGCTGACTGGCTGCGTGTAGCTGGATGCTGCTCGTTTGTCTGAGATGAACTGAGCGAGGGGGATTAAAGTTATCACATTTTTGTATAGGACTGTTGCTGCTTGAATAGTTGTTCCAATAACTGGTAACTTAAACTCTTTAAGTTTTAAGTGACTTTGAAGTAACGTGGTTTTGTGTGCTAAAAGCAGTTGAGATTGGGTTTTTTGGGGAAGAATATGCAAGAGATCTGGTAGGTTTACTCCTGCCTTCCCTCCTTGGCTCAGGTGAGGGCTGTGTGAGGAGTTGAAAGCTCTGTGTGCTTGGGCGTAGAGGAGACCCATTCCCAACCTTATTGACTACATGGCTTTTGTTTCTAACTTTCTCCTCTAGTGTTCAAAACTGCTGTGGTCCTTGTATACAAGGATGGTTCCAAACAGAAGAAGAAACTTGTAAGTTGCATGGACTATTTCAGCGATGCTGTGTGTGTTTGTGGTGCTACAGTCATGATTTGCTTTCCATAATGCTGTGGTCCTAGAGTGTGCTTTTGCATATGTGATTCTTATTCTCTGCCACACAGCTGAGGTTTTGAGTACTGCTGAGTGGGGCTGTTGTTCAGCCTGGGCGCAGTGCTCTGCAAGCCTTCCTTTAGTTCATCCTTTGCTCACTGCTGGACTAGTCATTCCTGTGACCTGCCACATCTATTCCATGCTGTAGAGAGGACTTCCATGAAACAAGGCGTCACCTTGAACATCTCTCTTGTGTTTGGCTCTTTGATCAGTGTGTGTGAATCAAATATGAGAGCTGATGTCTGTCAACTTTCTTAGTGAAACACAATGTCCTCACTTCAGTTCTGGCTGTTGCATGCCGCGGAGCACGTGCTGGCAGCTCTTAGCTAAATTAGGTGTGCCTACAGTATGTATCAGGGGATCCTACTGGAGACTGGGATTAAAAGTTAAAGCTAAGGTTGACAGTAAACACATGCCTTGCTACAATAGGGAACACAGTTTATACTATTATGGAAAACTTTTTGATTCCCACATATGGCGTAAACCAAAGTGTGATTTGAAATGCTTGTATGGTTGTTTTCTAAAGCCAAATGGCCATGAAATAACTGTAGAGTGACTAAGGCAAAAATTAGGCATGTTTTTGAGTGTATGTGCACTTGGAGGAGAGAATGCAGCATTGGTCTCAAATGGCTTTTGAAGGCATTGGTAAGAGTTGATTGGTCTAATGGTTCTTTTGTCTAGAATTTAGCAAGACCTTCATAGGTAGGCACATTAGTGATGCTGTTACTAAGACATTGTAGTGAGAGAATAGGAATTGCAACAAGTCTCTAGCTGGGTGTTCTCAGTGCAAAGCAAAGGAGACTTTCATGTCTGACTATCCCAAGGTGTCTCGTTTCCTAACGGTATTTTGAAATTCTTCCAGGGAGGATCACATAGAGCTTCAATTTATGAAGACTGGGATCCATTCCGCTTTCGCCACATGATACCTTTAGAAGCACTGCAGGTTCGAGCGTTGGCAAGTGCAGGTAGCTTTCCCGCTGCATGAATTTGGCAGGGTTCTTAATGTTCAGTCTGGGGGTGTTTACTGAGCAATGTTTGTCCTTAGTACACGTGTATGCAGCTTCCGGGGCCTGAGCAAGGAACCCACAAGTTCAACATCTGTAATAGTCCTGGAGAGAAACGAAGGGACAGAAGCTCCGGTTGTGTTTCTGCAGCTTGTCAGTACTTTTCTGAAGCCAGTCAGGAAAACAAGGACAAAGTTGTTGTTGACTCTGGTTCGCTCTGTTCCCCTTCTGGAGACTAGAAGGAAATCTTGCAGCTATGAGACAACAGAGCTAGTGATTTTTTGTTCTTGTCATTTATGGCTTCATGTGAAGCTTATTGCATTCAAAATTTTAAACAATTTGCTCCCTTTCTAATGCATAACTGAAAGTGGGAGGAACATAGGAGATTGCTGTAAAATGTGACAGTACTCCTCATTACTCACTTGCCCACTGCTGCCTTTCAGCCATGAGTTAATGTTGTTTGCAGTGTATTATTTGTTATCCTGGATGGTCTTAAACCGTTTTCTCAGGATTATGAAATAAATACTCTAATTGGGGTTAGATATGAGAAACCGTTGCATGAAGCAGTGCTTGCTTTTCACTTTAGATGCAGAGACCAATTCTGTCTGTGAGATTGTCCATGTTAAATCTGAGTCTGAAGGCAGGCCAGAAAGAACGTTTCACCTTTGCTGTAGGTAAGTGCATTTCCATATTTCCAATGGCAGCTACATCTCTGTATCCCAGCTTGCCTATGCCTTTCCTTTAAGGCAATCTGGGAACAGCCAGCAGGGGGAGTGGGGAGGGGGTGTTAAAACCTTACTTCTGGCAGGCAGAATTTTGTAAAATGTATTCAAATAAAGGCATATATTTGACCAGCTTTCCATCATTATGAGAATATCTTTATTACAATTTTCCTTTCACACATTGACATCCAACTAAACTCCAGCATTGGATCTTTCTGTCAGGTAGCTGCTCATGTGTCTTGTTCAGCTGGCACCTGTCATGCCACCAAGTTCCAACCTCTGCTTTTAGGGCATTGCCCTTTGCTCAAGTAAACCTCGTCCATCTTTGTTGTGGCAGTTGCCTTGATGTGTTTTAGAGTTCAAATAAGAACTCAGTACACAAGTTCACTAGGGTCTAATGGATCTGATACCAAACCAAATCCTACTACTAGGTAGTAGAGAGTTGCAGGACTTCTGCTTGGAGTGTGTTTACAGGAGTCAAACTGAGATTTAATTAGTCACCATAGGTCAACTTGATGTTTATCGGACAAAGAGAAGAGCGTGGTTGGTATCAGAGGAAAAGGAAGCCTCCAGAGGGATGAATAGCTAAATGGGAAAAGGAAGCCTCCAGAGGGGTGAAGAGCTAAATGTTTTGTTAACGAACAGTGTATTTGTTTCCTTGGATGTCTGTTGCAGTGATTGTAGATTTAGCTTTGCTTTGAAAATGCTGTATTAAATTGAGTCTTCTCTGTGGGAAGTGCGTGCCAGTTGGTTTGCACTGTCTTAAATTACAGAACTGGCCATTATTTATCTCATTTACAGCGAGCTTTTAGCAGTTCCCAAGAGATAACGCTGCCTTTTGTATTCTCGCCTGTTTTTCAGTTCACCAGAACACAGGAAGGACTTTCTGAAGGCAGTGCACTCAATTCTGCGGGATAAACACAGAAGACAGCTTCTTAAAACCGAAAGTTTGCCCTCATCCCAGCAATATGTTCCTTTTGGTGGAAAAAGATTGTGTGCTCTAAAAGGTGCAAGGCCAGCCATGAACAGGGCAGGTACTGTAGGGCTACAGACTTTCAAGATCCCAGTAACCCCAGCACTGTTGTAGGACATGTGGTGGTGTCTGTTACTTGTATATTAGGATTAGCATTCTCTCCTATGTATGTAAAAACTGCTGGTTTTCCGTTCTTCACCTCCTTGAGAGCCTTAAATTGCCTCTATTTACCTTGCTTTGCACTCAAGGCTCAGATTCAGAGCAGTCCTTCTGGCATGGAGGGAAGAAATGGGGTTCCTGTCAGTACCGATTGGCTGTGCACTTTAATCTGGAAAGGGGTTTCAGCTGAACAAAGCAGAAGCCTGCTGCATATTTCCTAAAAGCATGTACAGAATTTTGAGCTAACCCTAGCACTTTTAAACTAAAATGCACAAGAAAAAATCAGCTCCCCCGAGTGAGTGGCTTTGTTTGAAGAGATAGCTTTGTATGTCCTCCATTTTGGCCTTTTCAGCTCTACTGCTAAAGGGCACGTGCTTCTACTTCTCACGTTTTGAGAAGCGTGCACTTGATATTACTATTTTTGTAGTGGCCTGTCCTAAACCATGGATTTTCCTTTTCAGTTGACTTCAGGCAAAAGCAATGAGAAAATCCCAGGGAAAAGCAGGTTTTCATTTTCAGAACACTAGATGGTGGAGGGAAGAAACATTTGCTTCCAACTGAAAAATGCACGGCACCGCCGCGTGTTTTGTTCTGGTCTGTTTTGGTTTTGTTTTTTTTTTTCTGCTCATTAGATCCAGCAATGTAGACAACCAGGCTTTCTGTTCCTCTTCTGTAATGGGCAGGCCAGACCAATAACATTCGCAGCATGGCTTCTCACTCGGTGTGTTGCTAGCCATCTGCCTCAGAGACGCTTAAAATCGTAAGGAAGAAGAGTCAACGGAGGGCCAAAATGCAACTGTTCTCTTAGAGTCCAGACCTCTCACTACAGTGAAAATGCGCAACTGCCGAGCTCTTGTACTTCATGCATGTTTTGAGGCTCAGGGATATTAAATGTCTCCCTGCCCCCAAGCTAGAGTTTAATAACTACGTACTGAAAGTGCCAAGGTGCTTTTTAGTGGAGGGGGACAAACTATAACCTCGGAGTTCACCTGCTTGCCATGGAGCCACGTGTGTGTGCACGTAAAGCGCTGGAATGCCTGCAGGTCCTTCGGCTGCAGGATTCATCCCCTGCTTTGCCTCACAAGCCTCTTATGAAGATGTTCCAACATGGAAGATGTGAATTTGCTAATTGGGCCAGTTGCAAAAGCTAGTAGACCAGCTGATGCTGAGTAAGGAAATTCTGAAAGTTTATCTGGTTTTGGGGTGGGTTTGTTTTTTTTTTTTTCTTCTCCAGTAGGGAGGGAGTGGGGAAGGGAGTAGCAGAGCCTGGGCAGGTAACTTACTTCCCCATAAATAACGCAACAATTGCAGCATCTTCAGCACCAAGGTAGCTACTTGGAAACCCGTAGCGTTGCTCTTACCCCAGACAAAGCAATTTCCCGTACCGAGGCGTAAGGCCAGTCAGTTTTCGCAGTGTGCTGACAGCAGGGCACTGCCTGTGAGAAGCTGAGCTGAACAGATGCACTTTGTACTGGCTGGCTGGCTGCCTACCGCTTAGGAGGAACAGTAATTGTGGGCCATTATCCCCACTGTGGATCTGAGTAGCAGAAACTCCTTTTTCAGCTGGAGAGAGACCTGTGCTGAGTAGCTGAGTGAAGTGTGACTTGCCCGCAGGGAGGATGCCGAATGACTAGGTCATTCGTGGGAGCCTCCCTGCTTTGTGCCTAGTGGTGTTAAATAAAGAGCCCCTGGAAGACTAACTTTTTAAAGAGAGTTGTACCGTGTGTAAAAAGCCTGTGGGGTTTTATCTTTGTGTGTGCGCAGTGTCAGCCCCAAGCAAGTCTCTTGGGAGGAGGAGGCGGCGGCTGGCCCGAAACAGGTTTACCATTGACTCAGATGCCGTCTACACGAGCAGCCCTGAAAAAGAGCCCCAGCAGCCCACGCACAGTGGGGACACTGACCGCTGGGTAGAGGAACAGTTTGACCTTGCTCAGTATGAGGAGCAGGAGGACATCAAGGAAACGGACATCCTCAGCGATGACGATGAGTACTGCGAGGCCATGAGAGGCGCCGTGG